ATGAATATGGTATTTAAATACAGTTTTGCAAACATTGTACATAATAGCTGACATCAAGATATATAATAAGTTAAAGCAACTGTATTTGACATTGTTACTGACTTAGATGCAGCAACTGGAACAATTGCACGAACATCACTTCTTCAATGAAATAACAGAATAAATATCAACCAAGTATGAAATGACTGATATTATTTAGACATTTAGTTGTAATGCCAAAAGAAGTCAAGGGACACTATTGACACTGAGTTCAACTCTAATGCTCTTTCATACAAGTCAACCTATTAAGGTGTAACTTAACAAATAAGCCAATAATTACAGACCTCCATTACCCAAAGAGTTCAAATGTTTATATAAATCAATATATAACAAATTGTTAAGACAGGAACTGAACAATGATTAGCATGTAATAATATATTAATAGACTAAAATTAAGTCAACAAAAATACATGACAAAATAGCAGAGTCCCCTAGAAATCACTATGAGGTTTGTTATGAAATCAAAATGTTTGCCTTAAAATTACAATTATTATTTTGTAAACATATTTTCTGTATGTGTCAGTGGTCAACATGGTATGATTTAGGAAACACTGAAAGGGAAATTACTTCACCTTTACTTACATAGTTTTTAGCATCATCAGGATCATATTCCAAAAAACTATGTAACTTTGGGGTGCTCACCAGTTATCATCTACTTTTGAATGAGTGACATATAAGGCGAAGTTGCTTGCATTTGAAACATGCACAGTGGAGAGAATGTTGGCATACCTCTATGCTACTTTGATGTAATGTGGCTGATATTTCTTTGGATATTGCAGTTGTGCAAATTGTACATGACCTAAGTACACTGCTAACTAAAACAACTGCTCTCTTGTGCTAACAAAATCAATCCAAATTAGTCTAAATTACACTATCTTTAGAAGCTATTGAACTAGGGAAAATTAATTTTGCCAGACTAGACAATACCAGCTTCTGAAAGTGCAATGAATGAAGTACCAAATGTATAAAATGTATGAAATGTTATCAACTCTTTTTTTTTTTTTTACAATTTACCTCTGAAGTTCAGGAAGTGAAAATGTCCACATGGAGCAAACAGTGTTTTGAAACATGCACATATGGAGTGAGGCCAAGCTGTATGGTAATAACCCATATTACACAATTACATAATGTAAAATGTACCCATCAATCATACATCAAAATAAAGGGAATTAAAGGTTTTTGAACAATACCTAAGACATACAAGGTATTCTTTAAGTAGTCAGTATAACTAGTGATGAAACCTGTGGAAATTTGTTTTCTTTAAAGTTGTAACCCTATGCAAAATATTTTTTTTAGAGCACTACATTTAGTGTAAAGGTGATAACTTCTGCACATAGAAACTATAGTCCAATTCTACAAACCCGTTTGTTTGTAACCCTAATTACCGATTTCAATAACGGAAACCTTTAATTTGATAAAAAGTGCAAAGACTTGACTGAGTAGAATGGCCATAATATCGTCATCATCTGCACGTTTCATGCTTAATTGAAGTTTTCAATATTATAGACGGACATACTTGAGACATATTTCAAGTTCCTGGACAAGTCCATTTTCAGTAAAGGGTTATATGTATATCCATATATATTCACACACACGCACATGTATGTATGTATGTATGTATGTATGTATGTATGTATATATATATGTGTGTGTGTGTGAATATATATATATGCATATATGTGTGTATATATATATATATATATGTATGTATATATGCATATATATATGTATATATGCATATATATATGTGTTTGTGTGTATATATATATATTCACACATACACATACATACATACATACATATATATATATATATATATATATATATATATATATATATATATATATATATATATATATATATATATATATAAGTCAAGTCCCAAGTATCCACAGTCTAATGGTTCAGCAAAGAGAACCATTCAAACTGTCAAAGGAATTCTCAATAAGGCAAAGAGAGATAGAAAAGATCCATATTTATCGATATTGGAAGATCAAAATACACCAACTGATGATAAAGGATCTCTGGCACAAATATTGATGAATTGAAGACTTTGATCGACTTTGCCTAATACCAACATACTGCTACACCCGCAAGGCATAAAAGAAAGAAACCTAAAGTGGAAACTGGTTGAAAAGAAAAATCAGCAAAAGAAACAGTATGACAGAACAGCTAAAGAGCTTCCAAATCAGACTTCTGGAGAAAAAGTTAGAATCAGAAGACAAGATTTTTGGGAACCAGCTTTAGTGGTAAAAAAAAGTAACACTTTAAGGTCATATGATGTGAAAACCCTTGATGGTGCTATATACAGGAGATATGAAAGACATCTGTTACAAACAAAAGAGACATTACCAGAGAGATATAATACATATGAAGATACTAACAAGGGAGGTCACTGAACTGAATGACAATATGCCATTAATCATCAATGAGCCAAACCAGACACAAGAGATTCGAACAAGTCTAATAAAAAAGCCTGCAAAATACAGAGATTGCATTAATTGAACTCATATTTGTTTTTCAATTTAACAAAATTGTCTTGTGAATATTAGAATCTGGAAGTGTTTAAGGGCACAATGATAAATTTGTTTGAATGAAATTTAAAAATGTTGATGTCATCATTTTATTTGAATTTCCTAAATAAAGGTAAATTATGATACTTAGATAGTCATAGGAGTGTAGGTGTAGGAATTTTTTTGTCAGAACAGGGACAGGTTAAAAATACAGAAATTTTGACCTTTTAGAAGAATGTTTCGAAGTTCACAAGATGTATTGAAACAGATGTAGAATCAATCTTTAAAAAGCCAATGCAATCACCAGTTACACTAAAAATAATTTACTCTGGATGAAATGAGATTAAAAAAAGTGTTTTTTGCAGTTTTCACTGCAATGATTTTTAGGGTTAACATGTCAGATTAGTATGATTTTCACTTTGGATTAACCAGATTTTATAAGAAGTCTTTTTATGAATTCTCATGTTGAAATGACCATCCACTCAGAAATAAGGAAAATGGAATTGCAAGACATACACCAAGTAGTGCTGACAAGCTTTCAAGATGGTTACAATGGTGGCCATGTTGGAAGTCAGATCAATAACACTTTAAATTAGGACCAATTACACATTATGAGATGTCTCCATGACAATGTGATCATCCATTCAGGAGGAATAACAAACTTGTGATAAAAATGTCATATGGTGGACAAGATGGATAGAAGGTCATCATAGAAGGACTTCTGGTCATTGGTCAGTTGAACTATTAATAATTCCCTCCAATGCTAGAACTTGCAAGAGAAATATAAACTAAACAAAATTATCAATGTGTGTGAAAAATAGGTTGCTATGCCATGGTTTTTACAAAAAGTAGTTTTCATGAAAAATGTTCTAACAAAGTGCATAACACAGAGTCTAAAAATGAAAACCAAATGTAGATACTTAGCAAAGCAAAAAAGATGCCTACATATTTAGTGTTATTTTTAATTGACCAGAACAAGGCAATGTGTTCTACACTCCCAAATGGAGATCCACTATTTCAAATAACTATCAAGTAGTAAAAAATAAAGTAATAGAAAACACTCTTTGGAAAAAGCCTGTAATATTCAGGGCCCTTGTAATGGAATAATGTTCCGAATGAAAATTAAACAGGGTCAAACTGCACAATCCTTTCATGAAAGATGATTGCCTGGCTGAAACATAACTGTTAAATATTCATTGCTCTCCATTTTCTGTGGGCATTTCCTTGTAAATTTGTACATACATTCACTTCATACATATATCCTTTATTTTGCATGCAAGGCAGTAACTATTGCATTCCACTTTTTGTAGTGTATTATCAGTTCAAGTGTTTATAGACTGGTGAAAATATGTTGTGTGTATGCATCAGCAGTTTTTAGATGTGAATATGCTATTTAAATACAATTTTGTAATTGGACATAACAGATGACTATAAGGTAGATAATACATTCTTTGTGAGACATATTTGTCACTGATGTTGATGAAGAAATAAAAAATTCACTTCTTGAACTGAATCAATTTTAACATTTGACTGGTAACATAAGGTAAGAAGTCAATTATAAAATTTAGACATTAAAGTAAAATGGAAGTCCAAGGACACTATTGGTTAAATAACATTTCATTTCCATACAAGTCCACCAGTTAAGGTTGTAAACATAAGAAATATACCAATAGCTACAGACCTCCATCTCACTATGGGTTAAAAGCAATATATAACTCAAAATATAGTTTATCATTCAGAAATACCTGAACAATTATCATCATGTAATAATAAATAAACTAATTGCAAAAAAACAATCTAGAATAAATAAAAATCTTATAAAATTATCATATAAAGCACTATGATTTATTTTTAAATTGAAAAAATATTTTCATCAGTTTAAAAAAATTGCATGTTACTTTGTAAAATTATGTTTTAATGCATTGTATCAATGGTGAACAAGCAGGAACCATTGAAAGGGAACTAACCCCATCCTTGCTTAAATTACCTTCAGGAATTCCTCAGGCAAAGAAATGAAGTACCTTCAGTGTATGGGTGATGAGTTCTGAACATGCCAATTAACTGAGGAGCAATAAGAAGTTAGATTCAAGCAAGTGCTGATTTATAAAAATAGCATTAAGAAATAGCTTTTTTCTTAGATTTTTTTAAAATGAAATTTTCTATGTGCTGTGCTAGCTTTTAATCAACAAATATATTACACAAGAACTGTTCTATTGTATGTTTGTGTGTGTTGCTTTTATTTTAGTGTGGTTTTAATAATTTCAGTCATAAAACAACATATGTATTGTGGCAGTTTTCAGTGCTGCCTAGTATTGGGGCATCATGCAGCAGACATATATATTGCATTAAGTCCCACTCAGTCACATGATCCTGACACCAGGCCAACCAGTGCTATTACTAAACTCTTAATATTGAACAACTGCTAGTACTATTTTTATGTCTTTGGTATGACTTGGCTGGGGTTTGAACCCATGACTTTCTGCATCTGGGGCAGGTTCTCTAACCACTTAGGACACCAGAGAACAGTTCTATTAAAGATTGCCCAGATATTATCATATAATGGTCTTTAATTTCTAAAATAAATTGGCAATTTTACTGACAAATAAATTTTACAAACACTTTTGTTCATTTTCCAAAGCTACATTAAATATCCAAATCACACATGCATCACAAACTCATTTTCCACTAATTCCATTACACAAATTCAATTAAAAATTGTTCTGTGTCAAAATGGAAAAAAGTATTAAAATTAGATTGCTGTGACCTAGTTTTCTTACCAACAAAATGTAATTCTGATTTGTTCTTTCCAAGCGTCATGGTTGTACATAATAAAGTGCCCTAAAATTGAAACTAAAGGTAGATACCAAACAAAAAAATGATGCATAAATATTATACATTAGATAATTATAATATGAGATCCACTGGTTCAAATAACAACTAAGTGGCAAAACAATGATGAAACAACTCTTTGGAGGAAGCCTGTAGCATTGACCCCGCACAACCCAATTATGAAAGATGATTGCTTTGAGGAAATATAACAAGTTAAACATACATCATACTCCATTTCCTGTAGGCATTTCCATGTATATTTTTGTACATACTCCAATCATATATCCTTGGTTTTTATTGCAAGTCAGTAAATGGAACATTCCAGATTTGTAGTGTACTGTCAGTTCATGTGAGACAGGTAAAAATATGTTATGTGTGTGTGTATGTTTATATGTGTGTGTGTATGTTTATATGTGCGTGTATGTTTATATGTGTGTATGTATGTTTATGTAAGTGTATGTTTATATGTGTGCATGAGCAGTGTTTAGGTGTGAGTATGACATTGAAGTTTTGTAAATACTGTACATAATATCTGGCATCAAGATATATGACACATTTTTTTGAAGCTAAAGTACTGCAGGAAAAATTGTCACTGATCTTGGTGCAGCAAAATGAACAATTGTACAGAACATGACTTCTTCAACTTTTCACAATCTGAGTGGTAATGCCAGGTATATAGTCAATAAAATAATAATTTAAGTTGCAAGATGTAAAACATGGCAAGGGACATTGTATCATTCAGTTTAGTACTATTTTATTTCCATACAGTTTAGTACTATTTAATTTCCATACAGTTTATTACTATATAATTTCCATACATTTTAGTACTATTTAATTTCCATACAGTTTAGTACTATTTACTTTCCATACAGTTTATTACTATTTAATTTCCATACAGTTAAGTACTATTTAATTTCCATACAGTTTAGCACTATTTAATTTCCATACAGTTTAGTACTATTTAATTTCCATACAGTTTAGTACTATTTAATTTCCATATAGTTTAGTATTATTTAATTTCCATATAGTTTAGTACTATTTAATTTCCATACAGTTTAGCCGATGGAGTCCAAACTTTAGAAATAAACACTCAGCTACTGACCTCAATCAGTCAAAACTATATACAAATTTTAAATCAATACATAGCTCATCTAGACAGGAACTGAATTATTATCACCATGTCAGGAATATTAACTAACTGACATTAATTGACCTGAATACATGAACATGTGAAGAGATCACTACAAATCACTTTGATTTATGTTTAAATTTTCAAAATAGTATCTTAGTTTCAATTGTCACTTATTATATCTGCTAGTTTTGAATATGCAATAATCTGGGAAACACTTTCAAGGAAGTAACATTGCTTACATTTCTTCTTAGCATCACCAGGACCACATGCCAACTAACTTGGCAACTTTAGTGTAAGGTTGATAACTTCTACACATACAAATTAACTGAGGAGAATAAAAAGAGAAACTTGCTTTGGAACTTACAGTTTGTATCTGTGTGTATATCAGCTGCTGGACTGGTAGCAAGGATGCCACCTATGAATTTACAAGAGCAGATAACTGACCATCAGTCTTAATTTGTGAACACTGCATTCCAGATTTGTTTTGGCTTTACTAGTTTGAGTTTAAACACAAAAGATAATGTGCTTATATGTAAATGAATATAAGCAGTGTTTAGGTGTAGATATGACGATGAAATACATACAGCAGAACCTGTCTTGAAGGAATAGCTGACCTTAAGGTAGATCATTTTTTATAACTGTTTTGTCATTGATGCTAAAGCAGCAAGGAACAATGGCACAAAAATTCCCTTCTTGAACTGAATGAGTGTGTATATGTGTGTGTGTGATTTGGATTTTTAATGTAGCTTGAACAATTTTCCAGTCATATCACTACTATTTCTTCAGTGTGGCATTTTATAGTAATGTCTAGCACTGGGGCATTATGCCACAGATATGTAGCATGATGTCCCACCCAATCACGTTATTCTGACACCAGGCTGACCAGTCCTATCACTAACCTCTTAATGTTGAGTGCCTAGAGAGGCAGGTGCTTGTACCATTTTTATAAGTCTTTGGTATGACTTGGCCAGAGTTTTTGAACCTGTTACCTCCCACATCAGAGACAGATGCTCTAACCACTTAGGCCACTGAAGTGATCTATTGAAATATGGATTTCTTTGAAGAATGTTTCAAACATGCACATAATAAGTCTTATAAACATAAATCACCAGTTACATTCACAGAGATCTTTACTTTGTTTAGGTCAAATGTGATGAAAAATTTTCAGTTTTTGGGAGTTTACACCACAAAGATTTTTAAGGTGGCTATATTTGATACCAAATTAAAACAATTTTCATTTGCTATGAACTAGACATTACAGGAAATATTTAATTGAAACCTTTTGATATGGCCATTCATTAAGGAATAATGATAACATTATTTTCAAGATGTATGCCAAGCTGGCCATACTGGATGACATGCAGCACTCTTTTCCTTTAAGACCATTTAGATATAATAAGTCTTTAAATATTCAGGCACCCTTGTATGATATTATGCCAAAGGAAATTAAATAGGCTTTAAGTATTCAGTCACCCTTGTATGATAATATGCCAAAGAAATTAAATAGACTTTAAGTATTCAGTCACCCTTGTATGATAATATGCCAAAGAAATTAAATAGGCTTTAAGTATTCAGTCACTCTTGTATGATAATATGCCAAAGAAATTAAATAGGCTTTAAGTATTCAGTCACCCTTGTATGATAATATGCTAAAGAAATTAAATAGGCTTTAAGTATTCAGTCACCCATCTATGATAATATGCCAAAGAAATTAAATAGGCTTTAAGTATTCAGGCACCATTTTATAATAATTTGCCAAAGGAAATTAAATAGGCTTTAAGTATTCAGGTACCCATATATGATAATATGCCAAAGGAAATTAAATAGGCTTTAAGTATTCAGGCACCCTTGTATGATAATATGCCATAGGAAATTAAATAGGCTTTAAGTATTCAGGTACCCATGTATGATAATATGCCAAAGGAAATTAAATAGGCTTTAAGTATTCAGGTACCCATGTATGATAATATGCCAAAGGAAATTAAATAGGCTTTAAGTATTCAGGTACCCATGTATGATACTATGCCAAAAGAAATTAAATAGGCTTTAAGTATTCAGGTACCCATGTATGATACTATGCCAAAGGAAATTAAATAGGCTCAATCTATATACAATCCTATCAAGCATAAGCAGTGTTTAAGTGTTAACATAACATTTACATGCAATTTTGCAAATATTGTACATAATAGCTTGCCTCAATGTATATAATTATGTCTTTCTATGTAATTGAGTCATGTTTACTCTTGATGTTTAAAAAATAACTACACAGAACATCTCTTCTTTCAACTATTTAGGCATCTGATTGATTGGTAGTGCCAAACATGAAATCATTGATAAAATTCAGGCATTTAGTTTTAAGATAAAAAGGAAGCCAATGGACACTACTGACTCAGTGAGTTCAGCTCTATTTCATTTCCATACCAATCAACCAATTAAGGTTTCAATTTAAGAAATATGCCAACAGACTTTTATCACACACAGGGTTCAAAACAATACATAAATACATAATAATGTTTAGTGGAGCTGAAAAATTATCACTATATAATGATATATTAACTGATTAAAAAGTATAGTTTGATCCATATTAACAAAATGGAAGTCAAATGATACCATTGGCTAAGTAAGTTTCAATAACTGTTTCATTTCCATACAGGTCAACCGATTTAAGGTTTAAAGATGAGAAATACACCAATGGATACAGACCTCCAATACTAACAGCATTTGAAGCAATATATAAGTCAAGACAAAGAAATTCATTTAGAAAGAACTGAAAAATTGTCCTTATGTAATTATATATTATATTAGTAATGCAAATAAATTACCAGGAAAATATGACTATTTTACAAAATACTAATATAAGACACTATAATTTATGTTTCTAAATCAAAATATTATGTTAAGACTTAAAATAATTGTTATTTTTTAAAAAATATCTTCTACAAGTGTGTGTGTTAATGGTGAAAATGCTTATGACATTGGAAAAAATGGAAGGGAAATAATCTTGCCCTTGCTGAAATACCTCTAATTCCTACCAGCAAAACAAGACAAGAAATTAGATAAACTAGTGTAAGGGTGATAACTCCTACACACATACACATTGAGGCACAATAAAAAGTGACTTGAATTTATACAAACGGGATTACATGTTTACAAACATTCATCTAGAATTTAAATTTTCCATATCCACAGTCGTTAATCAGAAATTTATGATGCCAAACTATTCTATCAAATATTGCTAAGAAATTATAACCAAAATCAACTAATCTCTTAAATTTTGTGGCAGTTTTTTATTCATTATGGAAAAACTTTTGATAATTTTCCATTAATAATAATGTATATAAATTCAAATTAAATTTTTTTTTCAGGAAACAAATGAAAAAAGTTATTCTCAAGCAAAACATCCAATGGGAATCCATGGCAGGAAAGTAGGTGCAATCCACTTGGAAATTTATTTTAATGTGGAAATGTATTTGTGCATGGAAAAACATTAATTTTTATTGTGTTGTACTAGTCATAAATCAGCAAAATTATTAATCAAGAACACTTCTATTAAATATTGCTGATTTA